TTCACATGTCAGTATCCATTCACTCCAAACATGGGGCTGGTGAGCTGCTGCTGTAACGACCATCAATCATAAACACACACCAGACTCAGACTACATCTTCAGCAAGTAAGTGTAAGTGTAAGTAGTATACTGCATAAAAATCCCTTGAAATAAACAAGAAAAAAAGTGAAAATGACAAACTACATTCAAGCAAAAAATTACTTGACATTAAATAAGCATAATTCATGTTATTTTTAGTTCATAAAATTTCCATCATTTTTTTTAAATATAGCACATTTTTATAAACCAAGGCCACTCAAAGCACTTTTCCGATATCTTGCCAAAGAGTCTTGCCCAAGGACAAGATAACATTTTTCCACCTGCCCCTGTTTGTGCCTTGCTCCATCGCTCTCATGTCTCTTTTTACTGTAATCTGTGCAATACTTTCAGTGCTTCCAATTCAGTTGCACTTTGTGGGCAAGTGCGATGTACTTCTTAACCTGCACCGCACTCGCACTTTAGTCATTGTATGTACATTGTTGCTTATTTTATACATTATTTTTCCAGTATTTTTTTTTGTATTCTTGCACTGATGCGACTGCACAATATTATGGCACATTCTTGTCTTGGTATTGCACAGACGATCTGAATGTCCTGATTTTGTGAGTGTTTTGTGTGTTTATGTCCAGCAGCTTTGAAACCAATGCCCGGGATTAGTATAACTTGTGGACCTATGGTGATTTGTGATAATGCGGAGAAAGCCTGAGATCTTAGTCCCGCTGTGTCTGTATTTTGTAAAGTAAAAATTCTGCCGCCAATGACCTTGTACTTCCGACGTCCGGTGATTGCACTACTGCTACCGTGCAAATCTGCATCTCAGTGATTGTTATCGCTTTTGCCAACTGCCATGTTTTTTTGTCAATATCTTTTCACATCTTTTACCGGCTCGAATAATAAAGGATGCTGTGGAAATATTGATGTGCAGTTTTGACAGCTTTTTAGCAGAAAACTATAATACGGCCTCATATAACAGAGAATGGAAACAGATCCTCAGGGACCATAAGAGATCCAAGAAGACAGACAATTCTCGCAGGAGGATGGCCTGGATGACGTGTTCATACGCAGGGCCTCAGAAACACATTTGATAACGTGAGCGGCAGGAGCCATCTTGCCGGTAGAAGCAGCGTGGAGCAGATGTTACAGTATGATGGGATATACTGTATCTGCGTCGGTGCAATATCCTTAACTAATATCAGAATGTGCAATAACCACATGTCACTGTCACTTTACTGAGTCCCTGTGTCCCAGAGCCTCAAGCTGCTAATGTACAGATGTAAACATACTGCTGCTAATGTACAGATGTAAACATACTGCTGCTAATGTACAGATGTAAACATACTGCTGCTAATGTACAAATCTAAACATACTGCTGCTAATGTACAGATGTAAACATACTGCTGCTAATGTACAGATGTAAACATACTGCTGCTAATGTACAGATGTAAACATACTGCTGCTAATGTACAAATCTAAACATACTGCTGCTAATGTACAGATGTAAACATACTGCTGCTAATGTACAGATGTAAACATACTGCTGCTAATGTACAGATGTAAACATACTGCTGCTAATGTACAGATGTAAACATACTGCTGCTGATGTACGGATGTAAACATACTGCTGCTAATGTACAGATGTAAACATACTGCTGCTAATGTACAGATGTAAACATACTGCTGCTAATGTAGAGATGTAAACGTACTGCTGCTAATGTACAGATGTAAACATTCTGCTGCTGATTAACAGAGGCTAACATACTGCTGCTAACATGTACAGATGCTAATAAATAACTACACTTTGCTTTCACTACTGTAGAATACACAGTACTTTATAGTTACTTCTTATTTGACCAAATGTAAAACTTTTATACTTCTTTTTTATTATTATGTTCAAGATAGAGATTTTATAATTGTTATTTGATGCTAGAGTTAGAGATTTTGTTTTATTTTGATTAGTATAGCTATTGTTCACTTATCTTGTGCGGTGTGCTCCTCTTTCCTACTGTTCTGTAACTTGTGATGCAACACTGAAATGTCCTCACTGTGGGGCGAATAAAGGATCTCTTAATCTTAATATTTGGCTGTGATTAAAATACAGCAATTTACTGACTTTGCTTATTCATGTAAGAATCCAACCCACTCTCTCAGAAAACTGTGTAATAGTCACATTGGTCCACCTCTTAAACTGTGAGAATACCACAGTTTGGGCTCTGAAACTGTGGCACTCTTACATATTTTATTGCAATGTTATTCTACGGGAGTCACGTGACCACACCGTTTCCTGCGAGGGAGGAAATAAAAATGGCCGACATTTCTCATAATTATAGTCCAAAACTGCGGTTTATAGCATTATTTAGAGACTAAAGTCAACTTATTTCACAATTTTGAGCGAGAAATATACACTTGTATTTCGTTATTTTCAAATAAAATGGTTCCTAATGGCTTCATTTACGAAATTGAGCGATCTTTTTTTTGGTCCCTTAAAAATATGTGTTATTGTTACAGTTCGCCATAATAACACGTAGATCTTCGCCCCTCAAAAACAATTGTGATTTCAAATTTGACCATTTGACTACCCTTGTACAGAATGCTCGTGCGTGGTTACCTTCAATCGTATACATTGAAAATCACGTAAATCATCGATTTTGATAGATCCGTTCCGTCTGAAAATGTGCTATTGTTACAGTTCTGATGCCGGCGTCGCTCCTCATTGGTCCATCCCAAAGCTGTAAGAATACCACAGTGCACTGTAACTGTGGTACTCTTACAGATTTGTTTTATAATATTCTATGGGAGTCACGTAACTACACCATTTCCTGCGAGGGTGGGAATTAAAACATCAGAATCAGAATCATTTTTATTGCCACGTAAGTAACAGGAAGTCACAAACTTGAAAACATGACCAACATTTGTCATAATATCACCGACAACAGTGATTATTCTTAGGATTAGGGATCTTTTTGTGTCCCTGAAAATAGTTATTGTTGAATATCGCTCAGTGATCACAGCGTTCACCGCGTTGCCATGACGACACGTCCGTTGCGACGAAAATGACGTTGGGATCAGGTGTTTGTATAATTAAAATAAAAACCTTACAAGATTAATTGATGTCCGTTTTTAAACTGATAAGAATATTTCCACATTCTTTAAACAGGTTTAAGTCGATATTATGGCCAAAGCGGTTATGGAGGAAGTAAAGTATTATTTGAGAAAAATTACGTAAATACCTTTTTGTAAATGTTGTGCAGGACCCCACCTAGTGGAGTGTCAGGGTAACAGCAAGTCTACAGAACCTCCAAGGTTATGATCAAAAATGGTTTTATACTGTATATGATGCAGTCAGGCCCGTCCTAAGGGCTGTGCGACCTGTGCCGTCGCACAGGGCCTCGCACCACACAGGGGCCTCGCAATCTTCCTTCCTTTTATTTTATTTTATAAATACACTAGTTCAAGGGTCCCCAAAGGGCAGACTGCACTCCAAATTTGGAACCCTAAACCCCTTTCTCTGGACCTCTTTGATTTCGTTTGATCAAAAGAACATTTTTACAAGTAAAGTCAAATTTTCACCAAAAGCGATTTGTAAACAGGCAGGCGCGCGGGCAGCTATGTATGCAACGGGTCCTCCGAAAAAACTGTCAGATAACTTTAGCAGTGTCTGAGTGAGATACAAAGAAAGTAACGGGAATGATCGCAGTGTAGGAGAGATGGATACTCGCGGAGGAGGAGCAGTGAGACAGGTGTGAGCAGAGGAGCAGACCCCTTTGTGTGAGCAGAGGAGGAGGAGGAGGAGGAGGAGGAGGAGCAGTGATACAGGTGTGAGCAGAGGAGCAGACCCCTTTGTGTGAGCAGAGGAGGAGGAGGAGGATCAGCGGTGTGATAGGTGTGTGAGCGCTGCTATTGCCAATGTTTAGTCCGAATATCCACATCAAAAACATATTTTTAAAAGCATTAGCAAACACACTGTATGTCTAGCTTTAGCTAGCTGGAGTGTTTTTGTTGTGGTCAGAGTGTGTGGAGGAGGAGGTGAAGAGTATTTTGTTGTTGTCAGTGTGGAGGAGGAGGGAGTGTATGTTGTCAGAGTGTGTGGAGGCATGGCAAAAACGTTATTTGATGAGAAAATAATAATATTGACTCCGCCTCATAGCCATTTTGGCGCATTTTGCCCAAATCTAACTATTAGAAGAAAAAGACTCCTTTTGGTTCAATCTTTTGAGTTGCTCTACCATTTTGCCACAGGACGAAAGAGACATGTCAGCTAAAAAGACCGCGACCAATATTGCACGTAGAGTGTGTGTGCGTGTGTACGTGCGCGCGCCAAACGCTGCATAGGAGCGAAGACACTCGGTTACACGCGTGCTGATCTCGTCAAGCACCGCGCGAGGTGGTGCTGAATTCATGTCAAAGATTATAACAGGAAAAACTTTCCTCAGATCTGGGAAAAAAGTGTCAGGGCAGGGCCTCGCGTTTCGAGTTCGCACAGGGCCTCGCACCCCCCTTGGGACGGGCCTGGATGCAGTGTACATTATCAAGACGGCGAAGTAGGTATGAATACATGTTTTACAAAGGTAACTTTTTAATGCTTCACACAACTCAACCAAACCAAACTACGGCACATTTTTAGATTATCGCAATATATGTAACATCAATCACATAACATAATAAAGGATTCTGAAACATGTGCAGCTTCAAGGTATTTAATTCAATGGAGTCTGATGTAGCTAAGGTTAGAACTGCAGCCACAACCAGCCCTTTGAGGACCAGCATGACGCCCCTGCTGTAGATGATCATATATACAACATTAATTTTAATTCAATGTAGGTTTCTATAGTCCCAAATCACAACAGTTATCTCGAGGACTTTACTCATCTGTCAATTCGCCAACAGAGAACAGAGGAAAAAAAACAAAAAACGTTCAAACACAGGAATTGCAATGATTCAAAAAACTTAAAGGGGGCAGATGATCAATGTCCATAATTCTCAAGAGGCTCCCAAGTCGGCTTCCATATACGCTTACTGAAACAAAAAGAAAAGGTATATGAAGCATTCAGGGTAAAAACGTCTCAAAGCTAAATATTATTGTTTAACCACAGTAAATCAATTACCAAGTCCCACATGGAAGCCATTCCACAAGAACCTAAAAAAAAACAAAATATATATTTATCAGTATAAGACTCTACATTGCACTTGCGATCACCAGCAAAATCAGTATAAACAAACATTCATGTGGACACAAGATAAAGATAAAGATAAGATAAAGATAATTCTTTATAAAAAATACTGCTTGTTATGTAAAATTAAAGAAAAGTTAATGCAACCTACTTTTTTCCCCCGCTTCTTTATTATCTTAGACATAGGGTAACTTCCTGCTGTCTGCTGCTTGTTACACTCTTCACAAATATTTTTGGCTGCATCTACAGGGTGAAAAAAACAAACACAAATTGGAGGGTTCTTATTAGGGATGGCATAATGCAGTATAATCACAAATCAATTAGTCATATTAATACATTGGATACAATATATAGATGTGTATACGTCTTTGTCCCCATGATCTCTGACAGATGCATGTGTGTGTCCACATGGTCTCTGTGTCAGATGCATGTGTGTGTCCACATGGTCTCTGTGTCAGATGCATGTGTGTGTTCACATGGTCTCTGTGTCAGATGCATGTGTGTGTCCACATGGTCTGTGTCAGATGCATGTGTGTGTCCACATGGTCTGTGTCAGATGCATGTGTGTGTGTCCACATGGTCTGTGTCAGATGCATGTGTGTGTGTCCACATGGTCTGTGTCAGATGCATGTGTGTGTTCACATGGTCTCTGTGTCAGATGCATGTGTGTGTCCACATGGTCTGTGTCAGATGCATGTGTGTGTCCACATGGTCTGTGTCAGATGCATGTGTGTGTGTCCACATGGTCTGTGTCAGATGCATGTGTGTGTGTCCACATGGTCTGTGTCAGATGCATGTGTGTGTGTCCACATGGTCTGTGTCAGATGCATGTGTGTGTGTCCACATGGTCTGTGTCAGATGCATGTGTGTGTGTCCACATGGTCTGTGTCAGATGCATGTGTGTGTGTCCACATGGTTTGTGTCAGATGCATGTGTGTGTGTCCACATGGTCTGTGTCAGATGCATGTGTGTGTGTCCACATGGTCTGTGTCAGATGCATGCGTGTGTCCACATGGTCTGTGTCAGATGCATGTGTGTGTCCACATGGTCTGTGTCAGATGTAAGTTTCTTCTCATGGTCCAAATAATATGCATAGGTTATTATTACTGTGGTGCGTCTGGCCGCCGCACCTCTGTGCGCCTCCTGGAGTGTTTATGGAGGTCTACTTTGCTGAGGAGAGGCGTCTCACCGTGCTTACGGTGTGTAGGGGCCGTCATCTTCCTAATATTACACACAAACTAAGATTCCCACATAACTTCAAGGTCGATCACGGCTAAATGGTTGCTGTTCTATACACTGTAAAAATAAATAACCAAATAGATCGAGTAGTCTATATTAGACAATCCAAATACTTTCTTGTTGGAGAGGATTGGATTAATTGTATTGGATTAGGGGTGCAACGGTTTGAAAAGAATCACGGTTCGGATCGTACCTCGGTTCGGTTCATTTAAAAAAAAAAAAAAAAGTTTTGTCTTTTTAATAAACACAGCTCACGTGGACTCGTCACCTGCAGGAGGATCAGTGAGGGGCTGGTGCTCTGTGTACTGGGTGCAGCTCTGACTGCCACCCCCCTGACCTAGAAATGGATTAAGGGGAAGAAAATGGATGGATGGATGGATCGAGAGCATATTCCATCCATCCAATTATGTCTTTTTAACATAATTAATGAAAAACAACACAAAGTGCAACTTAAAAAGGCACTTTGAGGTCATTTACCCTCATATATTATCACCTTCCTGATTCTCCCAAGGAGGCGCTCCATTCTGGGCCCAGTCCAGCCTCATTTACTGCATTCATTTAATTTTTGGCATTATCAGTTGTGACTGGGATATTAGTACTAGGCCTGTTATCGTAACATAGTTCTTCGTTCCGCTCATGGATCTATTATAGGTTCCGCGGGACGTCCAAGCGTCAGTCGTGAACGCAACTGTCGATGTGCGGGAGAGTTAACTTTTAGCCCGGTCTGACTGAGCATTAAGAGCTGCTTAAATGCCGCTCAAATAAGCGGTCTTTTTTTCACTCATGTCTTTGTTGTGCCACAGTATTTACACACCGTGACAGTTTTGTCGACTATTTTATTATCAGTAGAGTTACAGTGAAGCCAAAATGCTCTCATACCAGGGATTTAAATGACGCGGGGCTTTCAAGCTCCTCCGTTCCTCTGCTCGCCATGATTATGCTGTGTGTGGACTGAACAACATGCGCACAACTTTTTTTTCATAAATCAAACCGCGGATCACGTCTGTACCGAACCGAAGACGTTGATCCGAACGGATCACGGATCAGTGATGAACCGTTGCACCTCTATATTGGATCAAAAAAATATATATACTAGTAGACTAGTATGGGTGATAAAAATAATATGCACACTATCAATTACTACTATATCAATCCACTTGAGGAGAAATGGTTGTTTATGTCAATTGATGCATACAATTTTATAAAACATCATTATTTGTCAATTAATGTGATGACACTTACTTTTAGCAGTCGCTTTTGGGACTCTCTTTGATCTTTTCAAAACTGGAATGGATAACGGTTCAGTTAGAATTTTAATAAACATTTCAAGTCATTGTATGAATGCAATATACATACTAAAAGTGGGACATAAAAACTACCTGTGGTGTCTTTGCTGGCTGGTGGGGGGGGCATGGACTCGGGTGGAGATGACGCACTAGCTCTGGAGGGCGGAGAGGACGCTCGAGCTCTGGAGGGCGGAGAGGACGCTCGAGCTCTGGAGGGCGGAGAGGACGCTCGAGCTCTGGAGGGCGGAGAGGACGCTCGAGCTCTGGAGGGCGGAGAGGACGCTCGAGCTCTGGAGGGCGGAGAGGACGCTCGAGCTCTGGAGGGCGGAGAGGACGCTCGAGCTCTGGAGGGCGGAGAGGACGCTCGAGCTCTGGAGGGCGGAGAGGACACTGTCGCACTGGAGGGCAGAGAGGACACTGTCGCACTGGAGGGCAGAGAGGACACTGTCGCACTGGAGGGCAGAGAGGACACTGTCGCACTGGAGGGCAGAGAGGACACTGTCGCACTGGAGGGCAGAGAGGACACTGTCGCACTGGAGGGCAGAGAGGACACTGTCGCACTGGAGGGCAGAGAGGACACTGTCGCACTGGAGGGCAGAGAGGACACTGTCGCACTGGAGGGCAGAGAGGACACTGTCGCACTGGAGGGCAGAGAGGACACTGTCGCACTGGAGGGCAGAGAGGACACTGTCGCACTGGAGGGCAGAGAGGACACTGTCGCACTGGAGGGCAGAGAGGACACTGTCGCACTGGAGGGCAGAGAGGACACTGTCGCACTGGAGGGCAGAGAGGACACTGTCGCACTGGAGGGCAGAGAGGACACTGTCGCACTGGAGGGCAGAGAGGACACTGTCGCACTGGAGGGCAGAGAGGACACTGTCGCACTGGAGGGCAGAGAGGACACTGTCGCACTGGAGGGCAGAGAGGACACTGTCGCACTGGAGGGCAGAGAGGACACTGTCGCACTGGAGGGCAGAGAGGACACTGTCGCACTGGAGGGCAGAGAGGACACTGTCGCACTGGAGGGCAGAGAGGACACTGTCGCACTGGAGGGCAGAGAGGACACTGTCGCACTGGAGGGCAGAGAGGACACTGTCGCACTGGAGGGCAGAGAGGACACTGTCGCACTGGAGGGCAGAGAGGACACTGTCGCACTGGAGGGCGGAGAGGACACTGTCGCACTGGAGGGCAGAGAGGACACTGTCGCACTGGAGGGCAGAGAGGACACTGTCGCACTGGAGGGCAGAGAGGACACATAGACTGTATCTCTAGAGGGGGGTGGACTGCTGTTCCAATCTAGACAAACACAAAAAAAATACTATGTTTTTTTTCGCATATGTACTCCATCACTGCCGCTACTTAAATGTCTGGAGTTGAAAAGGGATACCAAATTTATCAAAACGGAAGTTTTGCAGACCAAGATTCTCAAAACTACAATGCTGTAGCAGTAAAAGGCTGAAGAAAAGCAAAACTGAAAAATGTAAGTAAGAACAGGCAGAATGGATGTGACCTTCATCTGTCTTTCACTGTGATTACACTCACGGTTAATAATATTTGAGGTTAAAACATTTTTTATCATTCTTTATATCAAACTCTGCTATAAATACACATCTGTAAATAAATTATTTTATTAATGTAAAATTTGGGTCACATGACAATTGAAAGAGGAAACAAAAAAGCCCTGATGAAGTCTACTTTTGTGCAAAGCATATCTTCTATGTTTATTTCAATACAATTTATGTATTAGTTTTAAAGTTGGCATAAAAAAAGTAACTTACTGTCAATTACAACGCCAAACAGGGCTTTTATTCGGTCCAGGCATTTTGTTGCTGGTTCACCCAGGCTCCACATTGGGTGTATCAGTGAATTCTTCCACCCATTTTTTTGTGGCTTTGCCAAAAGTAGAAGTGCCCTATAGCCTAGGGCGTTGAGTTTCTCCACCTGAGACAAACAATGCAAGTTATTATTCTGCAGCAATGATTATTCTTGTCTACTAGATGCCCGTGTTTAACTAGTCTTGAGTTCAGAGGCTTCGACACATTTGTTATTGTCACTAATACATTTGTAATGGTGCACATTACACATTTCTAATCATACATATTTCAGTGAATTATTTTTTAAATAAACACATTGCTGTTTCTCTGATGCAACATTGACAGTTTTACACAGTTCCCAATGTGAGATGTACTGCATTTGTGTTTAGTTATTTTTTCTGATAAAATGTTTAAGATCCTTTATCTTAAACATTTATCAAAATTAGTGTAACAACATTAACTTACGATTAGGGATGCTTCATCCACAACGTGTGTTGCTGAATAGTTCTTTTTTTGTTGAAGTATCCATTTTTCTTTCTTTTTTTCAAATATGTCCAATTTTTTTTTCAACCTCACTTTCCTAGGTTGCAATGCCTGGCAGATTTTGCATTTTTTGGTCGCAACGTGGATCTGGCTTGAGCAGCCTGTACATGTAGTTTTAGTCGACCCCGTTGACATGTCGACTCTGAAAACATAATAAAAAGGTCATCTGTGAATCATTAAAAGTTAGGCATCTCTCACAAACAAACAAAGCTCACAAACACATGAATCCATGAAACTCCCAGCAAACCTTATCTATATGTGTATTATATTGATCCATCCTACAGCTCTTATACGGTTTCAGGGTTCCACGTTCTGTCTGTTTAGCATACAATTAGCATGCCCTATGCTGGTATGCTAATTGCGGGGAACCTCTGATCATACTTTCACCTGCGAATTTTGTCAGCAACTCCGACACGATATCTATGTCTAACAACATAAAAGCATGGTGGAAAAGCGTATTCCGATTTTACAGTAACATTTAACTCTGGATATGAAAATACATCGTTCTTACCGCGTGCGTGGGACGTATCTTCAGCTGAGAAAAATGACGGAGCTCATACTTCCGGGTACACCTGGATAGTTTCCTGTTGATTATGTTCCACGGGAAGGACCGGGTTATACGCCAAAATATTCAGGCACATTTATTAACAGTGATTTCTTAGATGCATGCATTGTTTTATTATATACATGGTGTTTTCTGAGATTTACCAAAGTCTGAAATGACACCGTGCACTGCGTGGTGACTAACATGCATGCGCTCATAAATGCATACACGCACACATTTCAAAACGCACGCGCATGCATTCGCGTACTAATGGTACAGACAGCTAAACACGCACTGGGCTCACGATTCTACAGGCAAGAGAATTATGAATGATATAAATCTTGATTTCGGGTTCAAAGGATGAAGAAAATAAAACTTGACTGTTGTTCATTCTACAACTACAAAAAACTACCATAGCCGTCATTTTGGCTCCATTCCAACCAATGGAATTATAAGAAATTCCACCAACATATTTTAAGCAAATTGTTTTTCAATAGATTTATTATAAGGTATTTACATTTATTATAACTTTACATTTATTATAACTTTCCCCGCTTACAGTTAGTCCAGAACTCCGCGGCACGGATTTTAACAGCTTCTTTGCACTAGCTTCCTGTTAATTTTAGAATTGATTTTAAGATTTTATTGTTTGTTTTGAAAACTTTGAACGGACTGGCCCCTCCTTACATCTCGGACCTCATCCAAATTTATCACCCACCCCGCACGCTGAGGTCCGAGAGGACCGTTACCATGACAATTGGTCCGCAGCGCATCACATTTGATATCTTTCCTCAGTAAAAAAAAAAGAAATAATGGGCGACGACTGGGAGCATTCTCTCAGTGAATTCTATTATCCGGACGAGTTTGAAGAACCAGAGGAATTACAGAAAATAACGACAAAAAAAATAACTAACAGTCAAGAAGAGATTGACAACTTTGTTGCAGACCAGAAAGCTAAAAACACAATAAGGAAAACCAAGTCGGATGTGAACATACTTCACAAATATCTAAAAAGCATTGGTAAAGACACAGAGGAGAGTCATATAATAAAACATTTATTAACCTTGCTTGCTCGGTTAATAAGCCGTTATTACTAGACTATAAGTGCTGGTGAACATAATTGGAAATACTGTAGAGATTTCATAACACTTTGAAACAACTGTAGTTAAAGTTAAACTCATCATTCTAATATGCACGAGACAGTCACAGTACTTTTCCACTTGATGTTTTGGTATCTCAAGGTTGTAGCTACAGGCATCGCGGCGAAAGCTGATTGGATGGTGTTCATTCAACACACTTGCATTTTCTTACATCCTTGTTCGTGTGCTTGAGTTTGTGCTGGCTCTACCATCAATAAAACATGTCTTCTGTCTGAATTAAAGACATGATCCCAGACTTTGGCTGATTTCCAACAATACAACAAAGGTCATATGATAATTGTTACAGTACAGTTGCTATGTTATCTAGTACTGCCTCTTTTTTTGTAGGAATACATGGTAAAACTATACTCGCATTTCAAAAACAAGGACATTGAACTACTGGACTGGACTCATAACACAGACGCCCGCTTCAAGAAGGGCCAGAGTCGCCTCTACCTGCTGAGGAGGCTCAGGTCTTTTGGAGTGCAGGGGCCACTCCTGAAGACCTTCTATGACTCTGTGGTGGCATCAGCCTCTTGTACGGTGTGGTCTGCTGGAACAGCAGCATCACAGAGAGGGACAAGAAGAAGCTGGACAAGGTCATCAGGAAGTCCAGCTCAGTCCTGGGCTGTTCCCTGGACACAGTGCAGCAGGTGGGGGACAGGAGGGTCCTGAGCAAACTAACATCTATGCTGGACCATGACTGTCACCCCCTGCAGGACACCCTCTCTGCTCTGGAGAGCAGCTTCAGTGACAGACTAATTCACCCTCGCTGTGTGAAGGAGAGGTTCCGTAGGTCTTTCCTTTCTGCTGCTGTCAGACTGTACAATAAGAACTGCTGAGCCTGTAAATTTCATTAATCTGTAATTAAGTAAATTCTTAAATCATGTGCAATGTGCAACTTCAGAATGTCACAGAACAATGTCACTTTACCTCATGTCACTTTACTTATATACTTTTTATCCTGCACTATTTAACTGTACAGTATATAACTGCACTACTACATATATATTTTTTGACTGGTATTGAAGGATTTTCAGCATCTACAGCTAGTTATGTTAGTTAAGAAACATAGCTACTTATTTGTATATAGTGTATATATTGTGTGTGATCCCTGTGTGCTCTTATACTGTCCTATACTGTATATGCGATGCAACATCAAAATTTTCCCACTGTGGGACGAATAAAGGAATTCTTATCTTCTTATCTTATCTCATCTTGAAAGAATCTTTATAGAAACAGAAAAAGACACAAAGTTCTGAAGACCAAAGTCTAGAGTAATTTCTCTTCCAAAACTAAAAGACATTCCTCAAGACAACACATATGCCTCAGCCTGGTGAAGGGCCCTGTTCTGTGGAAAATCCCCTTTTGGGAACCGCATTGACCTTCAACCTGATGAAGACCTTAGGGCAGCTCATCCTCATCCACCTTCGCTCTGAGATCAGCCCCACCCTGAACACATTAGTCCGGTCTTCAGGTCTCTGCACTGGCTTCCTGTGGCTCAGAGGATAGACTTTAAAACAGCTCTGCTTGTGTACAAGTCTCTCCATGGCCTCGCACCAAAATATATTAGTGACATGTTAGTACCATACGAACCAGCCCGGACTCTGAGGAGCACAGGGACTGGACTCCTGTTAGTGCCCAGAGTCAGAACTAAACATGGGGAGGCTGCTTTTCAGATTCATGCTGCTAAAATCTGGAATAATCTCCTTGAAGATGTGAGACAGGCAGGAGGCCTGTCTCACATTGTCTCTCTGACAATGTTTAAAACCAGGTTAAAAACGGTGCCGTTTAGCTGTGCATACAACTGAGGGATTTTATATTTTTATCTTCCTTTTTAATGTTCTGTGATTATTTAGGATTTTAATGCTTTCTTGTTTTGTTCAGTACTTTGAGTTGCCTTGTGTAGGATTTGTGCTATACAAATACACTTGCCTTGCCTTGCCTAGATTCTCCATTGTGAGATCAATCTTATTTCTTGACAAATATTCAACACATACTCACAATGTTAATTTTTCATGATATGAGGCGGAATTGTTTTTCAAAAAATGGGAGTAGAGAAAAATTACATTTAAATTATGAGAAGTCTCAAAAACGTTATTTATCTATTCAACATCTGATTGTTCAAGGAGTGTTTATTTCATAATTGTAATGCATGTATTCGTTAATAGGTTGGAACTGTGTTTTTAATATATACTATTTAAAACTACAATTTTAGCCACTGTGACAATTTAGCGTAATACAAATGGGCGCCATGTTTGTAGTTGTTTTAGCTGGGTACGTTTGTGTAACGTCACATCTGTGCGCGTGTGGTGGGTTTGAACAGGTTTGGGTTTGACACGTTTGAAATGGAAAAAAACAACAAATAAACTTTATATAAAAGCGAAGATCTATCGATTACACAAAGCAATACGTGTAACGCGATGTTCGTGAAACTTTCCGTGATTTTGATCTTCATTATTTTCAACACGCATGCGCAGTCATCAGAGTCATTTATGCATCTCGCGGTTTCATTTTGCGCGCAATATCTGGATTTTGGGCTGTCTTTGGATTTCGTCTTCAATGAAAATGGATATCACGGAAGATGATGACATTTTCCTGGCTGACATCGCTTTGCAAGAATATGCTGTAAGTATATTTATTGGAATTTGTATTAATAATGCTTTATTCGCATTCGATTATTTAGATATATGGAACGGACATATACCATGGGCAAAAAACCATACGGTTGTATTTCAGTTTTGATCGGAAAGCTAAGCTGTCACTAAGACTGAATTTAATAGCAAACTGTATGTTGGAATACTTTTTTCT